AGTGGGGATCATCTAGTGCGGCTGCACAGGTGTGGGGGAGTCAGTCCTCAGGCCGGCCATCTGGCGGATAGGGAGGAGGAGGAAAGGCCAGGCTGCGCCCGGGATCTCGATGTGTCTTGCAGTCAGCTGTGTACCCAACACCACAGGAAAGATTTTCTCGGTTGCCAAGTGATATGTGGCATGAAGTGGGCCCTTTCCACCTCACCTTCCACCGGGGGCTGGTGACCAGATAAGCCAGGTAGGCACAGGCTGACCTGTGCTTTGTTTGCTCATCTCTAGCCACCAGTTGCTCCTGTTTTAGCTCATGTGGAATTGTTCGAAGAAGGCTAGTAAGCACAAGTCAGCCTGTGGTTACCTTGCGGTCATCTGCCCCTGGCTAGAGCACAGCCCTGGCCCTGCCAATGCCCTCCCAGAGTGGCAGTGCCCTGGGCCAAGTTGGCCAGCCATCTTTGCGCAATCCCCAGCCAGGCTACGCACACCAGGTTGTCCTAGCACCCCAGAGCAGGACCTGGCCTGGTGAGTGGGATTGATGCGGTGGTCCCTGCCGCTGTGTGGCCAGCCTTCCTAATACCAGGGCCGTGAGTCTACTCTGCATACAACCAGACGTTCCATTGTCACACGGGGCCCGTGGGTTCACAGTCTCCTCTAATTGGCTCTGTGCACGTGAGCCCTGCCCCCCTCCCACGCACCCCTTGACTCCCTACCTGGGCTCTCCAGGAGGGAAGGAAAATCCTTCTCTCACTTAGAAAACATCAAAGGAGCAGCCACCCAGCCGAGCCTGGCCAGTCACCACTGGCACTGGACTCTGGAGATGAAACCCCCAGCCTGGGCCCAGCTGCAGAGGCAGAATGATGCTGATGCCACTGGGCAGTCTCTGGGCTCGGGCGGAGGACGTGGCTGGGCCCCCTGTCCCGAGGCTGGGCTGGGGGAGGAACTAGCTGGGGCATAGGGGACATGCTTGGTGTCTCCACACTGCCGCCTGACTCTAAGCTTGGCCCTCACCCCTCTGGGAGCATGGTCATGGAGCCCATGGACTTTCCTTCTGACCGTGGTACCCGGTGACTGGACTGGTCCCTGCAGAGAAAGCCAGCCCCCAAGGAGAGCAGTTTCCATTTGTCAGACTTCTCATGTAAACGGGGCGGCACGTGGGCAGCGTTCGGCCCCGTGCCTGGCACGTGGCTCTGTGTCTGATAATGGTACCGCTGATGGCTGCTTTGCCAGGAGCCGGCAGGCACGCGCTGCCAGGCCTGGGAAGTTGGGCAGGGCGCCAAGCCTGGGGGTACCACTTTCAGTCACAAACAAGGAGTGGGTTTGAGTTCCTTCTGGGCTTGGCAGCTGGCTCTGGAGGGGCAGGAAGAGAGACTGGTTGGGCCTACTGTGCGCTGTCCCTGTCTAAAGAAGGAAATCCTTGATGTCCTCGCCACCGCCCTGGGGGGCAGCTGACAGGGGCTTAGGACGTTTCTGCCACTCGTCCAAGGTCACGCAGCCAGTGAGCGGCCAAGGAAGAGTGTGCCTGCAGGTCTGTCTTGTTCCAGAACCCGAGCCCGCGATGGTGGGTAGCCCAGGGCTGCCAGAAGGCAGTGCCCAGGGGTGTCCGGGAAGGGTTTAAGGAGCCTTCTTCCAGGAACGCAGGCAGAGCCTCCCTGGGGGCTGCCTGGCTGGCTCACACGGCCAAGTTCTTTGTTCTGTAGAAAACAAGCTGATAATCTGCCTCAGCACAGTCTCCCCTTCCTCGCCCAGAGCACCTGCTCCTGAGCTTGGGAGGTGGGGCGCCCGGCCGCACTCACTGCCCGCATGGCCCGCCTGGCACTAGGTCTGCAGCCGTCTCACCACTGTCTGGGAAAAGTCCCACCACACTGCTGACGTCCGAAGAGTAAACCCTAACCCAACCCACTGTGAGTCCCACGCGTAGCCAGCCTGTGGGGGGTGGGCCGGTGGGACCCCGAACAGAGCTGGCCCGTGGGGTTTCCCGGGCTGCGAATCTGTAAGAAGCAGACGGTCTGATCTGCCTCCCACAGGGCAGCTCGTGGCTTTGAACCGGCACCTTCCAGTTCTCACGGAACACGAAGGCAGGGCTCCTCTAACCACCAGCCCAGTCGGACTGTCGTCAACCCCATCTCACAGAGGGGGAAGCTGGAGTGCAGGGAGCGACCCGTGTGTGAGGGGCTGCTCCCTGCGGGTGGCCCTCCGTCCTGGGCTTTCCGAGGAGGGAGCCCAGGCAGGCCACCCAGCGCCCTCGTTGGCCAAAGAGCAAGTGGAGACTCTCTCCGTCACCCCAGCCTGTTGGCTGGAGTCTCGATAGAGCGCAGGTCTCCTGGGTGCCACTGCTGGGGGCTCCTGGGTCTGCCTGGCCCAGCCAAGCACGGGGTCACTTCCGTGCGGAGAAAGCTCATAGTGTGGGGGAGCACTGCCCATGCCTTCTGAGGCCCAGCATTTCCACGCTGCCAGCACCCTCCCTGTGGCCTCGCAGGGGGCACCCCCAGTTCTGCGCTCCCCAGGCCTTCAGCGTCTGGGTGTCTCCCTGGCCCTCGGGCCCACCTGACCAGCCCGGGGATCAGCCTCCTCTTCCTTCAAAGCCTGCAGCACCATCTGCAGAGCCATGTGGGCTTCAGGCTTCCTTGGCAGAGCCCCCCTTACAGGCACTCTGAAGACGTGCCGGGCGGCAGGCAGCTGGCTTTGAGGATCCGCACCAGGAGAACAAGCCACGTCTGTCCGCCCACTGGTGGCACCCACCCAGGTGGCAGCAGCAGCGGCAGCAGCAGTGGGACCGGCACTCCTACCAGTGAGGGACCCAAGGGACCTGGACCGATGTGGCTCACATTTCCGAATTCATCTTCCTCCTTTTTGGCCTAGCCAGCGTCCTGGGCAGGAGAGACGAGGGCACATGCCCGGCCCCCTCTTCATATCTGCCTGGCAACTGATGCTCTGATGAGGGGCCGTCCCCCGACAAGTATTCTGACGTCATGTCCAGCTGCTCCCCGGAAATCAGAAGCTGCCACCGTGGTTCGCTCTGGGCCTTGAGGTCAGACAAGACCTGCTGGGGAGCCTTGGA